TATATATATATATATATGAAAACAGCAAAAAAGCTTAATTTTCTACATTGAACTGCAGGAAGAACAAGTTGACTGGAATCATTGAATAAATATATGAATTGTTGTTTAATAAACAACATGTTTGGAGGTTTCAGCAGTGTCAAACATAAATGGCTTTTATCCTATAACTCAAAGTCAGACCACATGACATTCTTGCTTCACCAAACGTCTTTGGTGTAGTCCACTTGTGTTAAGCAGTATTCAGCTAACAGCTCCCTCTGTGTGTGCTCTCACCTCTCTAGCAGTGACCAACAGTGTGGTTTGTCAGTACTGGACTGCGACCACCAGCAGCAGCAGGTCAGCGCCATGAGTCTGTACGGGACTGGCGCCAGTGGCGGTGCCGTTGGAGGGGCGAGAGAGAGAGGAGGAGCAGAACATTACCGGGAGCAACGGCGGCGCTCCAGCGACCGTTCACGTGACTCCTCCCATGAGAGAGGGGAGAGTCAGCTGACGCCCTGCATCAGGAATGTCACTTCTCCTACTCGGCAGCATGGTGAGAGAAAACACATGATTATTAGACTTCTCCCGCCCACATATCAGAGTTTAGTTGCCATCTCTTACACATGCATGCGTCTGAAAGATACCTTCACCGGCGTTCATCTGTCCTCCTCTCTCCCACAGACCGTGAACGTGGCGATGGAGGCTCGTCCTCCAGATCCTCCAGTCCACGTCCTCCCAGGGTTTCCCTTCCTTATTCCCAGGTTGGAGGGGCCCTGATTGGAGGACACATACCTCGGTCGTTTGGTCCTCCTGGAGCAGACCACCACTCCAAGACACTGGGCCAAGGACTGTGCGACATGATCTACGTGTATGACCTCAGCAGTAAAGAGGGGCATCGCAGTGGACTGAGACTGGGAGAAAGAGTAACACTCATTGTGGACAATACAAGATTTGTGGTGGATCCCACCATCTTTACGGCTCAACCTAACACCATGCTGGGCAGGTAATGACCAAGAGGTAGATTGTTTGTGTTGGTATGAATTGAACTAAAAACGACAACAAGTTAAAACAGTGACACTGGGACTGTGAAAAGGTGCATTCATTTTTTGTGAATGTCAGCTCTTTGCATCATGCATTCATTCATTTACTGTAACACGTTGCATCATACCAGCTACGTTTAATGCAGCACTTCTGAACAAAAGTAAGACAGATTTAATAATAACACACAGGATTCTTGGCCTTTTATTGCACGCATATAAAACTGAAACTGTTAAAATCACAGAGGTGTCGTTGTGCTTCAGCTCCAGTCTATAATCTTCTTATATCTTGTAAGTTCTACAAACCACCAGATGTCACTGTGCTGCTGCATTTGAAGCCCCAAAGCTTTGAACCTTTTTTTCAGCACAAATAAAAAGCCCCAAAACCTTCATCCACCAATCACTATCTTTCACTTCATCAACAGTCTGCCATTCATAGAAGCTTCTGGAGATCCCCTCCAGACATACAACGTATACAAAAATACTGTGCTTGGAGCAATAATGTGCGTCTGATGTGATATTTTTCCCTCTCCTTAAAATCAGATTTTCAGTGAGCACAGAGAAACGTTCCTCTTTCAGCAGATGAATGTGAAACCATCCTTCTAGAGTAAAACTCTGCACAGACAGCATTCACACAGCACACTGTAGGGACTAGAAGAAAAGCTGATTTATGACTGGAGGGGGACTTTAAATTGTACTGGTGCTGAAAGAACAGCTTTCTCCTGTTTTGTGCCACAATTTCCTTTCATTTCCTAAATGGCTCACTGTGAACTGTAGAACACAGTTCAGACGCTTCCATTTTCAGTTCTTTTGATCACATTCATTTTGAGACGGGGGAAGTGTTGAAGCCACGACTACAACATCTTTAATGTGTCGCTCCAGCTTTGAATCTGGGCAAAAACGCTCAAACAAACAGCGGCAATTTTCTCACCTGTTGTTTGTTTTCAGGATGTTTGGTTCTGGGCGGGACAACAACTTCACACGGCCCAATGAAAAGGGAGAGTTTGAGGTGGCCGATGGCATCAGCTCCACTGTCTTCAGAGCCATTCTGGTGAGTTAAGGTCTTCATCTGTGGCTGGTGTTTTTAGCTCAGATCAGCTCTGTACTCTGTCACTGTGTGTACTGGATCTCATGTACAGTACAGCTCTTTCTCTCTTCTCTCTGGTTCTCTCTCAATCCCTCCCTGCTTTTCCCTCTTCCCACTGTCCCACTTCCTCTTTCTGAGTGTCTTTCTCTCTGCCCCTCTCCCTATACTTTTCTTCTTTCCTCTCCTCCTTCTCATTTCTCTGATCCTTTTATCCTCTTCTCTCTCCTCTCTCTTGGGGCCAGTGAGTTCAGGATCCTTGGAAACGTGGACTGTATCTCTCAATGTTTTATTCACTTTCTAATTCTCCTCCTACCCATCTCCCTCCATCCTTCCATTTATATCACAGACAAGCTCTCAGTACACCTACTGCCACCTCTCTTTCTGCTCCTGTTCTCTTTTCTTCCACTGTCGGTCCATCATTGCTGCTCGTACTGACAGTCCCCAAGAGCTCAGTCTTATATAAAAGTCTTCAGTTCAGCTTTGTGCTTTTACTCATGTGATGATCACTAACAGAGGTCTTTTTTTGCGAGTATAGAGCCCAGCGTTTTATTTTCTCCTCAGTTAGATCTTCTCGTCAAACCTCCAAGTTTGAAAATGAGATGCTTCTCAGCGTCCAGTCAGAAATTTGTTATATATGAGAATATAATTGAAAATGGCAGCAAAGGATCCCAAAAGAAAACTATAGTCACATGAAAATGTCTACACTGTGTGAGGATTTGAATTCACTGTGGACATTTTTCTGTAGTTTTTGCAGTAGTTGCTTCATATTAGAAGATGTGTATAGTATTTTGCTCGTAGTAAAATCTCAGTTTAATGCAGTCCAGCCTTATATACAGCCTTATAATGTACTGTAGAATTGAGTCAGCAGGCAGCACTGTAAATAAGTGCCTTAGTATGCAACATGCCTGATCAGCCTGGGAGCCTTTGCTGCACGTCACCCAGCTCTTGTTCCCCACACTTGACGTCTGCTTCTCCACCACGTAGCCCCTGTCAGGCATGCACGTCGTTACTTTAATTATTTGCAGATACAATGTATAATAATAATAAATACTATATAGTGTAGATGAAAAATCTTTGATTGAAAGCGCCCAGTGCACAGGGACTGCCTGTCAGCGTGCTCATCAGTGCTGACAGGAAATGAAGTTGCAGCAGCACGTTGTTGTGTTGTTGATGGGAAAACAAAAACGTAGCAGCAGTACAGAGACGGGCCACGAGTGGAAATGCTTGTACAGGATCCTCATCTCTAGCATCCCGACCTCTACGGTGGAGCCAGCTTGTTTCTGCAGGCGAGCAGACTAGTCATGATTTGGTCAACAGTCCTCCAGCGTGAATAGAAAATATTCCTGAAAGCATTCCTGCTGAGTTTCTGTTGACATGTGCCTTCCAAAATGTTTCTGGCAAGCGCAAAAAAAACACTCCATTCGCCTCAGCCTTTTAGTGATGCACTCAGAAAGAGCCAATCGTTGCTCGATTGTGGTTATGGCACAATGGATTCTGGCATGAGCGTGTGTGTTGGTCAGTGGGCATTAAACAAAACCCAGGCAGACAAGAAAGTGCGAGAAGTACAGGGCGGGAGTGGAGTGGTGCCTGTGTGCCCAGCCTCTCTCTCCTCCTCGTTTCCAGGCTGCAGTGTTTGCGTCTCCTGGGAAACAGCCCCTCTGAGTTTGACACCGGCTGCACAGAGCCAGCGAGAGGGAGGGAAAGTGACGTTGTGAGCTTTTGCTTTCATCACCCTCTGCTCTCCACTTCCCCGCCTCTCTCTCTGTCCTCTCTCTATCTCGCCTGTGACGTCCGCCGGATTTTACTTTCCTCGCCGCCACCTCTCCATCCCTCCCCCTCCTCATCCATCTCTCTCTCTCTCTCTCTCTGCCGCGCGTGTGAGTGAAGCAGCATCAATAATGGCGTCTTGTTTTTTCTCCCATGCTCGTGTGTGCGCGTGAATGCCCACCATTCTGCCTGTTTCTTCATTTGTGTGTGCGTGCGTGTGTGTGTGTGTGTGTGCGCACACTGCTGAAAATGGCAGGATTACTACAAGTCGGGGATAATCCGCTGCCCTGACGGCGTTTCCATTCCCGAGCTGAGGGAGGCATGTGACTACCTCTGTATCTCCTTCAACTACAGCACCATCAAGTGCAGAGACCTCAGTGAGTACACACTGTTTAGCTGTCATTATTTACTGTCTCAAGTGTGCAGTGCTGCAGACTGATGTAGTTGCTGGACTCTGGTGAGTGTGGAGCTCAGATGGTTTTTATTGTTGTTGTTTTACCGCATTAGAGAAGAACACAAATAGCCCGCTTTGTTTTTATTGCAATATGTTTCACAACAGTGCATATTGATGGGTTTGGCAGCTACTACCTTGGTTTCGTGGAGAATAAGTTGGTAGTTAAGTTAAGTTAGTGATACTACTGATAGATACAGGACATTACTGTAGCTGTTGTAAATGTAACCCTTCAGTCAGAGCTAAAAGTAGGCACAGTAGATGCATGATTAGTATACGGAGACACTGATGTAGCTGTTTGTTGACGGACCTGTGGCCTCATCCTGTCACTTTGGAAATACCAATTTGTCAATAATGCATGTCTCTATTAGTGTTGTTATTGTGCATGTTTGTCCCTCTTGTTTGTCTCTCTGAGTGTGTGTGGGAGGAGCAGCTTCAGCTCACAGGCTGCTGCTGTGTGTTTCTGTGTGTGTGTGTGTGTGTGTGTGTGTGTTGGGCTCTAAGTAGGTCATGATTAGCTGTGAGATTTAATGCTTGTTATGCAAGCATATAACCAACCAAGGAGAGCAGGTCTCATTCTTGTACCAACAGGATGTGGTTTTCATCATTAGCTGCTCGTTTTTAGGTATTTGTGGTTCCTTTGAGTCTGATTTCAATCAGTCTCTGTTCTGGATAGAACCACAGGACGGCTGCACACACTATGTTTTCTGTTTATATATTCTAAGAGTTTGCATTCAGGACTTCATTATAATATTATGTTTAAGCAGCCCTACACCGCTACTATTTAGGTCTTAATATGTGCAGTAATGCCTGAGTATCATCAGCTGTAGAGCTCAAAAAAAGACATTATACCATAGTCAAATTATAGCTGCACCATGGGCAAAAAAAAAATCATATTGTGATTTTAAATCTGTTTTTTTGCGGGCTTTTTGTCTTTATTGATGGAAAAGCTGTATGTGTTACAGGACAGACTGTTGACAGATATCACATCATTACTTACATCTGGAGAATCAGATTTGCAGGCTAAAATAAAGCTGTTCTATCTCACATTTGACCTTCATCAAAAAATTGCAGCTTTTGTGATTTGATATTGCAATAGGCCATATTGTGATTCAATCATATTTGAGTGTCAACTTGCATGTAAACCAAGCCCATGAACTTTATGGAGGCAGTTATATAAGTACAAGGGCAGGGCAGACTATTGCTAGTTTCTGTTCATATCCAGAACCTTGTGTTCCTACTTAGTCACAATAATGCATCATAATAATAATAATAATAAAACAATGTATTTTATTGATTACCTTGTTATTCTTTAAGTTGACAGTATTCAGTAATGGATCTGCTGTTAGGAAACAATGTCAACATGTCACTTCATGGTGCCCTGTGGGATTTTCTTGTAAACAAAGTTTCTCTTTCTCGTTTAATGCATTTCTTTGCTCATAAATCATTTTCCAAAGCCAGTTTTTCTTAAACCGTGCATTATTTTCGCCCATGTTTACTTACCAGTAGTCTTCTTCTTTCTTGCCTTTTTTGGCGCATTGCTGCTTTTCTTGGCGCATAAACTCCATTTGTGGGTCAGTGGAAAAGTGTGAAACCATTGGCAGGCGTGTGTATCACATGACCCATTATATGCTCGTGGCTGAGAACTCACACAAAACATGGACACACAAAGAGATTGCTCCATAGCGCTTTCATCAAAAACATGCTCTCCTCCTACAGAATCATAGACAAGAGATTTCAGTTTTAAGTCTGATTGTAGTTGTATGTTACTTTTTTAAAACTTCAAATAGTCCCTGGCTCTCCTAGTTAAAGTAAACGATCCAGCAGCACAGTATCCAATATCCTCTCCTCACGGGTGTCCTCGTGCTTCTTCCCCAGGCGCCCTGATGCACGAGCTGTCTAACGACGGGGCCCGGCGTCAGTTTGAGTGTTACCTGGAGGAGATGGTGCTGCCGCTGATGGTGGCCAGCGCTCAGAGCGGAGAGAGGGAGTGTCATGTGGTGGTGCTGACTGATGACGACGTGGTGGACTGGGACGAAGAGTACCCTCCACAGATGGGAGAAGAGTACTCGCAGAGTAAGATCACCATTTATGATACCGGATCATATACTACTTATACTATATATACCCATTAACGCAGCCGCTCAGCGACCTGCTGTGGTAGCGGTATGTCCGCCTCATAGCTGCGTGATGCTCCAGTTACCAGCTTTGATGAAAAGCAGGTCACTGTGACATAACACTTCCTGCAGCTCCTTCATGCTTCACACTTTCACGGTAATAGTTCTGACATTTGAAGCTGTTAAACTGGAGGCTGTTTGTCTTAGACAGTTCTTCACACCGAGAAGAATACTATTAGAGTAAAGAAACATATTAGCAACTGGGCCCGCTTCCACAGAACAGAGTATTTACAGATCACAGTAACTTTCTACACGGCTAATAGAGTGCTGTGGTTAAAGGATAAGTCTGGTGATGTTGTGTATATTTGTTATTGTCAACAAATCCCACGAAAAGACTCAAACCAACAATGAACTGTGTGTATCCACTCCTCTGTGCCATAGAGCTCCATTGTTGTACCAAAAACAAGTAAAAACACATCAATGAGCCACACTGTTGCACTGGGTGGCATGTTCCTTCATCACAGAGAACACACACACACACATACATACACCGTCCTTCGGCTGCAAATACTCACCAGAGCCGCGAATGTGGATTAATCCGCAGCTGGAAATAGTCCCCAAGAGCTACTGGAAACCCCTCCTGTATTAATAGCTAACTACAGTTGTTTTAGCATATTAGTAAAAAAAATGAAACTATTTATTTGTGTTTTTATCTTTTTCTTCAGTAACAATTGGGCTGAGAGCCACAGACAGGGCGCTGCAGTCAAACACTATTGAGAGACTGTTGAAGGTCGTGCGGTGGATTCATGTGTTTAATGTCCCTCTTTTCCTCGACAGTCATCTACAGCACCAAACTGTACCGCTTCTTCAAGTACATAGAGAACAGAGACGTGGCAAAGTCAGTGCTGAAGGACAGGGGACTGAAAAAGATCCGACTGGGAATAGAAGGTACTGAGTCAAAGTGTTTCTTCTTTCATGCAGCCTCCAAATCTGAAGGAAGAAGTATTAACAATCAGAATAATGTATGTGTTTGTGGTTAGTTTTCACCTCGGTCCTGGAAGATTTGAGTTCTCTGTGGCAACTATCATTTTGTAAATGGGCCAATCTATTTTACAAGAATTCAGCACAGAGCTCATTGCACAACTTGACTTCTGTGAGGGTTGTCTTTTTCTCCACAGCAGCCCTACTCCAGTGAACACAGCACTGTTAAACCCTGAGAACCTCTCTGAGCTGAAAACACTAAAACAAGCCTACGAGGAAGAACATTTTTGGGTCGCAGAAGAAGTTTTACTTGTTAAAGAAAAATACTGGAACTTTCCCTCAGGGCCACAGCGGGGAACTTTTACCTTTTTTAAATATGAATTGTGTGTAAACACTCTGTAAAAGTCCTAATGGCTGAATCCGAGGCGAGAGTTTCCACAACACCACCAATAAAATGCACTTTAAAAGCTTGTTTCTCACCACATGCTTTTCAGGAAATGTCCAATCCAAGCAGTGCCTCATTGTTAAAATACTTGAAGGAATAGTTCGGTCAGGTGATTATGTGCCAGGACCAGTCTTTTCCTGGAGTCTCCGGCAGTTGTCTGGCAACCTGGCCAAGAAATCTTCCAACACACAACGCCCCATTGTTGTTTTTACACTGGGGTTTTTGTATGCATGAAACAAATAAGATATTTCATAGGTTTTATAGGCTTCAGAGGTTCCGGTAGCTGGATTTTGTTACCTTTGGGCTCGGCCTGGATAATAAAACAGCAGCACTGTGTATCAACAATACACACTTTATCAGTAGCTATAAGAAAGTTGTTCAATAGAATATTGATAGTTTTGCTTTGATGCATTAAATGCAAACCAAAGGCACATAATGAATATGGCCTGACTCATAAATAGCCTATGATCCTTTGCTATAATGGAGCGTGCTATGAGTGAATCACCCTTTGGAGTAGGTGGTAGTCAGTCACGACCCACATCTGTTACATCCCAAGAAAAGTGCTGCATATTTACTGTACAGTGCTACCAGTCAGCAAGAGAGCAAATAAGGGTATTTCCCAAAATGTCAGACT